AATCCCAGCAATAGTACAATATACAGCGCAATGCAGAATATCACCAGCTATAGAGGAGCACAACAAATCCTAGCAATAGTACATTATAGCTGGTAGTATTCTGCATTGCGCTGTATAATGTACTGTTGCTGGGTTTTGTAGTCCTCTATAGCCAGTGGTATTCGGCAGTGCACCACTGTATAATGTATTATTGCTGGGATTTGTAGTGCTCCTCTATAGCTGGTGGAATTCCACATGGCGCTGTATAATGTATTATTGCTGGGATTTGTAGTCCTCTATACAGCGCAGTGCAGAATATCACCAACTATAGAGTACAACAAATCCCAGCAATAGTACATTATACATACAGTATATAATGTATTGCTGGGATTTGTATTCCCATGTATAATATACAGCACAATGTACCATCAGCTATAGAGGAATAAAAATCCCAGCAATACATTATAGAACACCACGTGTGGGAAAGTGCAGGCTTATACCTGAGCAGTCTTCCAGCAACGTTGAGCGTGAGTTAGGGAGGAGGTGGGGCGCGCAGCGTGTGTGGAGCCATGAACAGGGCCAACTGATCAGAAGCCGATTAATCGATTATTGAAAAAGTTGACAACTTTTTCAATAATCGATTATGTCGATTAGGTGTTGCAGCCCTAATATATATATAGCAAAGTCAAGCCAAACCAATTAATGTTTTCCCTGGTGAATGTAGCCAGGACCTGGCAATTAACAATGTGTGCCTGTTTCCTTCCCTTCATTACATAATACTGGTCCATTACGGGAGTAGACAGCCCAATCAGAGAAGACTTAAAGGATGCCTCTATGGACGAATAGAGATGGACACTGGTGATTTCCCCTTCTGAAAATGCTTCTGGCTGATATTATGATCTAGTGGCTTAAAGGAGAACTATGAGGTGAGTGCTTTTCACTCACCTCATAGTTCTAGCCAACTTGTGACAATGAGACTGTCACAGGTCGGCTCAGTAGATCGGGAGGTGAGCGAACACATACTGGCGTTCGCTCACCTCTCGATCCTGTCATGGCTCTCTGCCGTGACAGGGGAGGGGCTGGATTCCCCCCTCCCCACTCCGATCCGCCAGCGCTGACTGGCGGATCGGACGGGGAGGGGGCGGATCCAGCTGGCTCTGCCTCTAGATAGGCAGAGCCAGCTGTCAGTGACGCAGCTGGGCAGATCTTGGCACAATTGTCAGTATCCGCTTCAGCTGCGGCGTCTCAGTATACCGCGAGCTACAGATCGCGGTATACTGAACGCTAGTTTGTGTCCTCCCGTTACCCTAAGGAGAACTATGGGGAAAATACTTAACCCCATAGTTCTTTAAAGTACTTTGTGAGTCTCTGTCCTGGAACAAATAGAAAATTAAAAGTTCTAATATCACGCTGATCTACACACATAGTATTTGAGGTTGAATAAAGACATTAGTCCATCAAGTCCAACCTATTAGGATCTCACACAATTCCAGGTGAGTGATTAGTAAAGAAAGTTAGTAAAGAAAGACAGAGACAGCCAGGGATCTGAAATCTTCAGTCAGCAATGGCAGCCTACATATTTTCTCAGTACACATTTCCATTTTACGAAAGCTCCTGATTGCCTAGTTTAGGCCTCCTCATTGGACACTGAAAGAACAACTAAAGTCCCTCCACGAGTAGATGACATCAAAAACATAGATGCCATATTGTTTCCAATTTTTAAACAAATATTGTTCAGAGACGTCTTGTGTTGACCCTAAGATGCATCAATAGAACACAACAATAAATAGGAGTACAATCACAGTACAACTGAGTAAATACCCTTTAAAAGTTATTTCCACACAGTTAACGCAAAGAACTAAATATATCAAGGAGCAAAAAAACAAAACAAACATCCAAGCAGTTCAATACGAATAAATATTATTCAACAAGGACAGAGTCCACATTTTCTTGTGAGCTTGTGTCTTCCAAGTCCTCGAGGAAGGGGGGTTCTAGAGCTGCGTCTTCGTCTTTCTGATCATTATCAGTCAGGTTCTTACAGTAATTCTGTAGCGAATGATCAGTCTGGCTGCCCGAGCCCTGGTAGCGACTGAGCTTGTGGGATTTGGTTTTGTGCGTGTACAAGTGATCCAGTAACAGGTTCCTCCGTATGAACCTGTGTCCACATACCGTGCAGATAAATTTCCTCTTTCGCAAGAAGGAAAAGTTGCAGTTCAGCTCTATGGGATCGGCGTCCTTCGACAAAAACGAAAGCTGGTTGAGTTGCAGCTGTTCGGCGTGGGTGGAGTTTGGAAGCGCTTCGTTAGGGCTGAGTTGACAGCTCTCAGTGTTCTCGATGTTTTCAAGTATGGGGTGCACTTCTCCCAGGTCATCGCTCTCTAAAATAGAGGTAGGTACACCGAAAGGGAGAGACTGTGAAACGTGGATATGCAAATGATCCCTCAACGTGCTACGAGACTCAAAATGTTCGCCACAGTAGTGGCAGGAGTACGTTTTGCTGGCGGTCTTAACCAATGTTGACTCGACCTCCTCTTGCAGCGACGATTCTTGAGGAGATTTGACAGATTCGGTATCACAGGTTTCCTGCTTTATGGTCTTTACGGTGTTCTCAATGTCTTCTATCGATTTAACTGTGGTGCCCACCTGAGCAGGGAAATGTGAACTTTGCTGTTCAGGCCCTACACCTTCAAGGCCAATGGCAAGGGACAGCTGTAGTTTCGGCTGCTCTCCCTGTGGAGTGGACCTTGCTGCAGCAGGTGAAATGTTTCGAAGAGTCTCTTTATTTGTTTTCTGAGCCGTGGAGATCTGGATTCCGTATAAATTAGAGGACTGCCCTGTTTCCGATGGCAAAACTTGACTTGGCTCATTAGATGATATGGAGGGGAGGTTAGCGTGAAGAAACCTAACCCCTTCCTCTAATCGGAAGTGGTCCACACTTTGCTTGGGGGTTTTCCCTGTATACATGACGTGCAAAAGGTAACTAAATATGTCCGGTTGAATGTCTGTCGGTTGGATCTTTATACATTCACTGTTACAAAAAAAAAAAAAAAGTAGATACGATTAGCTATGAACAATGTCAAGCAAAAGTGTAGGCAGATATAAAAAATACCCAGTTATGGATTTATTAACAATTCCTTAAAAGAGAACTATCGGGGGGGCACAAAGACATTCATTTAAATATATTCCTCAATAGCCAAAAAGAACATAAATCTATTCTGGGGGCACTAAATGCCTTTGCAAACACTTTTCAAAAAAGTGGAGACATCATCAACGTGTTGTACACAGTGCAGAAAGCAGAGCTGTGGGAGGGACCCAGAAGGCCACACCAACTACAGGTTGTCTGCAGAAAATAACAGGAGAGGGGAGGATACAAGACCAGTCACCCTGCACAAGGAGAACATAAATCGACCTGTCGGAGGAACCATGTTGAATCTGAAATCTGCGTGGGGGAAGGGACACGGAACATGGTATTAAAGGTAGAATTATTGGCCTTTAAAGTAGTATTAAGGTCTGGGCGTTTTTCACCTTAATGCATTCTCTGCATTCGGGTAAAAACCGCCCGGAACCTTTTTCTTCCCCACCCTCACACACTTACCTGTCAGCGACGCTGGTCCCCGCCGCTGGTCCTGAAGTGATCCTCCGTTCCCCGTACTTCCTGGTTGCAGGGGGTGGATACTGATGGTAGAGGAGCCTTTGGCTCCTTCTGACATCAATCAAAGTGTTGGTCAGAGAGAAGGGACGTGGCCTACCACAGGGCTTTGTGTGTCTATGGATGCACACAGCCACTGCAGGTATGAGTGCCTCCGTTAGCTGATGGAGTCACCCTTGCAGGGGGAACAGCGCTGCAGGGACCCACTTGAAAACAAGGAATTTTTAACTTTTAAAGAAAAAAAAACAACAGCCTCAGGCAAAGGTGGGTCTCCTTATAGCAACTATTTAAAAAAAGAGGAGGGTTTAATATCGCTTTAATCTGATGGTGACAGCGCAGAGATTGTATTATGAGACTGAAAGCCATTAGTGCATATGGTGCCAAATCTGTCAAAGAAACCCATAACCAACCCCGAGTTGGCTCAGATGATGTGTTTACAAGTATTGCTGCCTTTGGGTTTACAATGACCGGAAAAAACGATAACAATACCTTATGTATGCCATAAAATATTCACATTATAAACACATTACAAACAAACAAACAAACATTGCCAAAACAATGAAGGCTTTTACAACTCGATTTAGATCATTTGATTCCATTTTGAAGAAATATGATTTCATTATTTAAACACACTTCCCATATGTTGTGAAATATCATTTATTTCTCATTCCTGCAAACAAAATGTGAACATAAAGAGATTCTAGCACCTGGACTGGTGAATGAAGATCATCTTGAAATAATTTGAAAAGGCAGCAAGCACGGCTCTGTGCGCCTTGAAGTACACGTCCCCGATGGCTATAGTGCAGTCACAGAGGAAACCGAACTCCCGCTGCATGTTGAGTTGCTGCAGCAGAACCAGGCTGTGCTTTGACCGATCCATAGCTCCTGAAAAATGTAGATGAAACATAAATTAAACAGAAGCTTATAAATGTTGAATTGTGCACCTACATACAAAAGCAGGATAAACCAATGCCTGAAAAGACATGGCATATAATGGTGTGTTATGTAAAGGTATGCACGCATTACAATTACTTGTAGATGAGGGTCTGTAGAACTGCTTCACAAGAAGTGCATGTAGTGGTTGTATAAGGCCAAGCTTTATACATTTCTTACCACAAGGAAACCCATATGGTGTAAACTGCACTGATACACTTTATGCCCAAGAGTATGTAGACACCCCTCCAAATGATTGAGTTCAGGTGTTTCCAGTGAAGGGTAATGTCAATTTTACAGCATAAAATACAAAGCCACTGTAATAGATCCAGCATAATTACCTCTCCGGCATCTCGGACGCAGAGGGTGGCTCCGCCCCCGGTGCCACGCCGCACCGCCCTCCTCCTCGGCTTAAGCCGCAAAGTTTCACTTGTCCGGTGTTTCTGCAATGGCCGCGGACAAGCTCTGTGCACCTCCGCTCTCCATCCTGAATGAGAGGTCGCTCCCTGGCCACCTTTCTGAGCCCTCCTGATCCTTCTGAGCTGCTTAGACTTCTAGTGCACCGCAACCCTGCACTTGAACCACTGCTCTCCACTATACCAGCCTCTACAGCCAGGAATCAGCCCACTCCAGGGATGGATCACCATATTACCCAGACTACACTTAACAGCAAGTATTGATTACCCCAGCTCTTACATGCTCATTCAAACTACTGACTTTTCCTGCTTGTACGTGAAGTGTACATTACAAGTACCACCGCTTATACTTGCCGTTCAAACTCATTGATAAATACCCTTGTGATGTGAAGCGAACATTACAATTACCACAGTTGTTACATACTCATTCAAACTATTGACTTTTCCTGCTTGTGTTGTGAAGTGAACATTACAAGTACCACCGCTGAGACTTGCTCATTGATATTTAACCCAATGATGTGAAGCGAACATCCGAATTACCATAGTTGTTACTTACTCATTCAAACTATTTGACTTTCCCTGCCTGTTTGTTCACTGTTCTCACTACTTGCAGATTTGGTACACGTGCCATACTCCCCTTGCCCTTCATTTCTCTGTTACGCACCACTCTGGGATGTTTGGAATACATTTCTTATGACCTTCAAAAGGTTTTGTTTAGTTTCAATTACTTTTTATCCTTCATAATGTTGCCAATGTTCACTTGTTGCCTTCTGACTTCGGGGAATCTTTTCGTGATTGCTTATTCTCATGCAATGTTGAGAAGAAATGTTGTTCTACATTCTGTACTCGACTTCTCCTTGATATCTCTTATCTGTGTTTATACTGTTTGAAATGTTTTGACAAATAAAGAATTTATATGAAGAGTTTGGGGCGGAGGAACTTATGTGCCCTGCACAGAGCCCTGACCTCAATCCTACTGAACACTTTAGAGATGAATTAGAATGCAGATTCTGTGACAGGTCGTCCAGTCAAACATCAGTATCTGACTTCACAAATGTTTTTTGGATGAATGGGTACAATTTCCCACAGACGCACTCCAGAATCTTGTGGAAAGTCTTCCAAGAAGAGCGGAGCCTGTTATAGCTGCAAAGGAGGAGGTTTTGGAATGGGATGTCCAACAAGTTGTGACGGTCAGGTGATCAGAAAGCTTTGGCTATATAGTATATATGCAGAGTACAGGATCTAATTGGTATTTACAAACCAATAAAAAAAAAAACTAGAGGTGCACCGAAATGAAGATTTCAAAACTGAAACGAAACCAAAATGTAAAAATAGTCAGGCCGAAACCGAAAATATTTTTTATTTTAACTTTTTCAAATTTAAAAAAATATTTTATTTATTTTTAATTACGGATTTATATTTTATTAAATATTTTCATTGTTTACTTTACTTTTAGGGGCTCAGGGGAAATATTAGGGGTCTAAACAGAACCCTGATATTTCCCTTTCTAAAATAGAAAAAGAGATTGAGAACACAGAGTCCTCAATCTCTTTTTCTGTATCCCCTCCCAGATAGCAAGGATAACTTGCCACACACTTGTGGCATGGGTTAAATTGTAATTCTTGTTAACTTGCCGCACACATTCCTGGCAAGTTGTAGACTTGCAGAACACTCGCAGCACAAGTTCTAGTTGACACTTTTTGAATTTGTAGCAAATTTGCTTGGCAAGTCTACAGCAAGAGTCCTGCAGGTCTTAGCAAGAGCTCTGCAAGTGTACAGCACTTTTGCAAAGCTCGCTGGTCTGGAGACTTGCAATGCAGACTTGCTGTAATTGTGCAACAAAATTGTGAAGCTTGGCAAGTCTGCAATAGTTTAGCAAATCATTTTTAAACTTGCTGCTCAATTACTTGCTATCTGGGCTCTTATCAATGAACAGGAATCCTCTATACTGAGTGTTCTTGTTCATTCATAACATGAAGACAGAGTATGGTTACTATATCCTCAATCATGAATGGACAGGAGGTGATGTAGATCACTTCCCATTCATTAATTGAGGCTATAGTAACCATACTCTGTCCTCAATTATTTACAAACACTCAGCAATCACTGAGTGTTTTTACCACTCTCCTTCCTGACTCGCTGTCACAGGAGGCTGAGTGGGAGTAGCTCAGCCTCCTGTGATAGCACTGGAAGCTGTCTCCGCCCACACACCGCTCTCCCGATCTGTGACAGGAGGCTGAGAGGTGAGACGCCGGCCGCTCACAGCGCTCTCCTCCTGCAGTGCTTGGCCGCCTGTGACACTTTCTCTCCACCCTGCTGGGACACAGAGCAGCGCTCAGCGGGGAGGAGAGAAAGAATGGATGTACTGCTCTATCGGCCAGAAAATGGCACTTTTCGGCATTATGCAATTTTCGGCCGATATATCGGTGCATCCCTAAAAAAAAACCTCACCTGCTGCCGGGATACACCCCAGTAGATACTCATTGCAGAGATTTAGGGGATACATAAATTGAACTGCTGCTTCTGACCCATTGCAGCATGTATCAACATGAAGCACCCATCCAACTGTTGAGTCATATAGTGGTTGGAGGAAGGAACCACACCATGTGGCATGGAACATAGGCGTCTGACACTTCAGGAAGTGTTCTTGGCCAACGACAGATGCTGCAGTACTGGAACGGAGCAGAGGCAGGAGACATGGAGAGGTGAGTATACTACCTCTTCTGCTGTATGGGAGTGTTGGTTTGATTTCTTTAGAGACCTGAGGTACGGGACTCAAGCCGTGAAGTGTTCCAGTCACATCCCTGACCCTCATCACTGCTGACCCATTCACAAAATGCCTTGCATTATTCTCAAAGCATATAAGGTGTTCTGTGATTGGTGGAGGAGAGATAATATGACATACTATTTTCCCTACCGACAAGCAATGTAAATCGCATTGTTACCAGTGCCCACCAATATAAAGATCATTCTTTCCACTGACCACCAAGGATGCACCAATACCAATTCTTCCAGACCAAGTGCGAGTACCGATACTTTTCCCCAAAACTCGCTGATACCAATTACCGAAATCTTTTTTTAGTGTCATGTGACAGTTTTTCTAAAACAATACAGACTAATGGTTTTAGGACAGCGGTGGAGCGCCAGAGTCAGTTCCCAGCTGCCAATGCTGCAACCCTGGTAGTCCTGCCACTGACTCCAAGCTGTAGAGGGACTACAAATCTCAAAAATACATTATACAGCAGTGCAGAATAATACCATCAGCTAGAGATACATTATACAGCAATGCCGAATGGCAACCGGCTCTAGAAGACTACAAATCCCAATAATGCATTATACCGCAATGCAGAATATGAAGCTACCTACTTTGTGCTGCCCTGTGCCGGCCTGTTGTCTTCAGCAGAGGATCTCAGGTGGTTGTGCTGAGTTAAAGAAGGGCTGTACGGTGTCTTAGGTGGCTGTGTGGGGTCTCAGGCAGCTGTGTGGGGTCTCAGGGAGCTATGTGGGGTCTCGGGAGGCTGTGTGGAGTCTCGGGAGGGCTGTGCAATGTAAGGATCATTCTTCCCACTGGCCACCAATGTAAGGATCATTCTTCCCACTGACCACCAATGTAATGATCATTCGTCTCAATGACCCTCAGTGTAAAGAGGTCATTTTCCAATGACCTCCAATGTAATGAAGAACTACAACTACATCCTCTCTCTGCTATTCCTTCCTGTTTTTTATTCTAATTTGATTGTTATTACTAAAAATAATTTTGTTGTAGGGAGCAGCCCTGGGCATACCCCACATTCCTTATTCTATTTCCTCTTACTGATCACGCTAATGTCCTGCAGGCTGTAGATATAATGATTACTAGCTGGGGATCCCTGAATGTTTTTTCAAGTGTTCCTGTGTTTAACCAGTTGCCGTCCGCCCGGACGGCACTTCAGCATTGGCGGGTTGCCGTCTGCAGACGGCATTTTTTTCTGCGGGCGCGCACGGGCAGAAAAGACCCGACCATGCGCTCGTTTTTTCTTGCCCCCTGACCTTCAATCCCGGGATCCGCTGCCCCATCTTCGGCCCGGGATCGGTAGGGCGTCAGGAGGAAGAGAGATCAGCTCCTTGCTGACCTCCTTCCGGGCTGTGAATGCAGAAGTGATGTGTATTACATCACTTCCGCATTCACCTGTCAGTCATCTGGCTGCTATAGCCAGAGAAAAGAAGCTGATGAAGCAGATCTCTGCTTCATCAGCTTCTTTTGGGGTCCACAGGTGACATTAGGGGTCCTAGAGACCCCTAATGTCTCCATAAAGAGGACCTGTCAGTGTGCCTTTGCTATTATATAGGGGGATTGTTATCCCCCTATATAATAGCAATAACAATAAGTGCAAAAAAATAAATATAAATAAAAAAAAATAAAAGTAACACATAAAAAAGTAAAATAAAATAAAAGTCACATATAAAAAAAGGGGAAAAAACCCCCCCAAAATGTTTAACTCCCCCACCCCCACGTTTACGCGCATATAAACGTAAATACGCGTCCGGTGCCCCAGCGTGCAAAAAACGACAATTGCGCTACACATCGCCGCGAACGTTGGAGTGAGAGCAATCATTTTAGGGCCATTAATCACTGATAACACTAAACTGATGAGCGGTAAAAGCTTTTAAAGCGTCGCCTATGGCCAATTTTGGGTATTATCGTTTTTTTTTAGGTTTCGCGCACACATGTTTGGTGTCTTTTTACCCGACGTGACCCCGTCTTTTATATTTTACCAAAAAATTGGGTAATAATAAATGTTTTATCATTTAACATAGGGGAAACCGTTTTTTTTTTTAATTTCGGTAATTTTTCCTTAATATAGTAAAAAATAAAAACCCCAGTGGTGAATAAATACCACCAAAAGAAAGCTCTATCTGTCCCCAAAAAAGGGTATAAAATTCATTTCAGTACAGCGTTGCATGACGGAATAAATGTCAGTCAAAGTACCGCAGCGCTGAAAACTGAAAAATGGCCTGGCCAGGAAGGGGGTTTAACACAACGCGGATGTCAACTGGTTAAAAGGTTGAGAACGGCTTTGTTAACCCCTTCATGACGGAGGCCTTTTTTTTTCTCTTAATATTTTGCACTCATGTAATATTGCACATTTTAGGCCTAAAAATTACTTAAATTTAACCCAAACATTATATATTTTCTGAAAGCCAAGACTCTATAGAATAAAATGTTGGCAGTTGCAAATTTTTATGTTGCACGATATTAGCGCAACTCCTTATCAAACCCCAAAATTTAGTGGAAAATGCACTTAAATGCCTCAAAACACAATAAAATACCCATAATAAAATATAAAAGATGAGGTTACGAGTAAATAGATACCCAACATGCCAAGGTTAAAAATTGTTTGCATCCGCAAAACAGCGACAAAATTCGGTACCCAAAAAAGTCCAGACGACTCTTTAATTGTCCCCATAGGTCATCAGTTTAGAGATACCCATAAATACTGACCCTAGAACTATTGCTCTCACTCCGGCGTGCGCAGTGTTACCCAACATGTGTAGCGCGTTTCTTCGTTTTCATACGTAGGCACACCCAACGCGTGTTTATGTGAAGACGCACGTGCTCGCGGGGGCGGTCCCAGAGGATGGGGAGGAGATCGACGAACGGAGGTTCGTCCATCTCAGCCCCAGCTTCCCCCCAACACCAGAGAAGACGGACCCGTAGGAGGGGCAGCAGAGCCCGGGAAACACGTGGGGGGGGGGAGAGAGAGACCCATTCACCGGCCCGTAGAAGCGATTTGGCGGCAGCTGAACCGCCAGAATCGCTTCTACTTTAAAGCTGGCAGTCGGCTTTACAAGTTTAAACAGAGTCCCGGCGGCAGTCTGTTTAAACAGCCTCGATGAGATGACAGCAATACGTCACTAGTCATGAAGGGGTTAAACCTTCTACCAAGTTCTCATTGTTGTCTGTGTCCCCATTAGAGACATTCACCCTCTCGAATTGTCCTGATCACCAATGTCACGGTTATTTCGCTCACATCGGAAAGATCTCTCACTTCCTGTTGAACCTACCAGACAGGAAGTACAAGTAAATCTCCCTAAAACAAAACCTGCCGATAGTTTTTAACACTTTTCCTACTGAAATGATAGAAAACAAATTTCTGCTTTAGCCCCATTTCTACCGAAGCAGAACAACGCTCAACATGAAGAATCCCATTGTTTTTAATGTTTTTTGGGGGGGCAGAATCATGCATTATTTTTGCTCCATAGACTTCAACTGGGTCACCTGACAACCGCATTTTTTTTTACACCTAACAACCGTCTCCTCCCCTAGCAACCAGCTTTCCATTGGCTAAAACAAGAAACGTTCAAGCCTGATAACGCTCTTGCTCAAATGTGAATGGGGCCCTCGATATGAATATATTCATCAAATGACCTCAATGGTAACTAGCAGTATGACTTTATATAAAACAAAAAAGCCACTTCGGTAATATTTGTGTAATGCATAATAACTGTGCGACTCTGGCTTTGCCCTCTCCGGAATTACACCGCCTCTTATCTCATTACGAACGTTACAACCCCACCATTTTAACACTTTGCAGTATAGGTATGACTACATAGAGGAAGCGGTTGATAAGCCCGGGTGTCACGGGTGATAAATAGATGAAAGGCCGGCCCCGGGACCCCTCACCGCATCTGCCCGGGACATGTCTGCAGCAATGCGGCGTAGCGCTTGCCAGGCCCCGCCCCCCACTGGCTGCCTCACAGCTCGGCGCGCGCGCTCCCCGCCCGCCTGGAAAATTCCACAGGAAGCGGCTGATGAACGGCTCGCAGCTTACCCACAATGCCCCGCTCACCGTGCGCAGTACGCGCCCTCCTTCTCTGCCGCCCAGACACAGGCCGAGGCTGGAGGCACCGAACAGGCTGCTCTCTGTTCCGCTCTGACGCTCTCACGTACGGAGGGGAGGAGGGGGGGCAGGGTCACATGACTGGCAGGATGGCGCCATGAGCAGCCCGTTTGGTCATAGCTGCTGATGTCCTTCCTCTGATACCAAGGCGACAGAGGGGATGGAAGACTTCTGTTCTACCTCTCCCAGTGAAGTGGGGAGGTGGCTTAAAGAGGACCTGTACTGTCTGTAATGGACGAATAATCTGTATTCTTTGCTGCAGGGGCCATAGCCTGCCAATGCTGACTATGCTAATGTCAGACTCTGATATACTGTCATAGGTCTCCGACATGTATTACCAAACTTTATAAACTCTGTGAGGGCTTGTGCAAGTGAACATGATGCTTGCCCATTTATGACAAGGCATAGGGTTGCCACCTGTCCAGGATTCACCTGGACAGTTCGGGTTTTGAATGCTGTGTCCGGGTTTCATGGCAGCAGAAACCCGGACACAAGATGTCAGGCAGACAGGGGCAGCCAAAATTAAGATAGGAGTTACCGACCCCCATTGAAAATAGTCTTAACTGTGATATTTACATAGGAATAGGCAGCGCTATATACATATGAATAGGCCCCCACTCATTCTCCCAAAAAAATGTCCGTGTGTCGCTTGAGTGTTCGGGTTTTGCTTGAAGAAAAGGTGGCAACCCTAACAAGGCAACAGGTTCTCTTTATAGTCCACCATTAGACAGCTTACACATGGCTAAGGAGCCTCTCCCAAATGGCTGTGCATGGACCTGAGGGACCATCCAAATGAGACAGTGCAGGGCCCTGAGGGACTATCATTCATGAGACAGTGCACAGGTCTGAGGGACCATCCTCCATGAGACAGTGCTGGGTCCTGAGGGACCATCCTCCATGAGACAGTGCATAGGCTTGAGGGACCATCCACCATGAGACAGTGCAGGTGCCTGAGAGACCATCCTCCATGAGACAGTGTACGGGCCTGAGGGACCATCTTCCATGAAGACAGTCCAGGGGCCTGAAGGATTATCCCCCATGAGACAGTGCAGGGGCCTGAAGGACCATCCTCCATGAAGACAGTGCAGGTGCCTGAGAGACCATCCTCCATGAGACAGTGTACGGGCCTGAGGGACCATCTTCCATGAAGACAGTCCAGGGGCCTGAAGGATTATCCCCCATGAGACAGTGCAGGGGCCTGGAGGACCACCCTCCGTGGGATGTTGCTGGGGTCTGAAGGAGCATCCCCAATGTCACCCTGCAAGGGCCTGATGGGCCATCCTCCATGTGACTGCATGGGTCTGAAGAACCTATACTGGATCTAAACCTGTGTGAAACTTCAGGGATTTGAAGGACCCACCCCTGCGTGACAGTGCTTGGGTCTGAAGGACCCACACATGTGACAGCCAAGGGTTTGAAGGACCCACCTCTCTGTGACAGCACACAGGCCTGAAGGACTTACCCCTATGTGACAGCACATTGGCCTGAAGGACTTACCCCTATGTGACAGCACATTGGCCTGAAGGACCCACCCCCATGTGACAGCACACTGGCCTGAAGGACCCACCCCCATGTGACAGCACACTGGCCTGAAGGACCCACCACCATGTGACAGCACACTGGCCTGAGGGACCAACTCCCATGTGACAGCACATTGGCCTGAAGGACCCACCCCATGTGACAGCACACTGACTAAGGGGGGGCAGGGTCACATGACTGGCAGGATGGCGCCATGAGCAGCCCGTTTGGTCATAGCTGCTGATGTCCTTCCTCTGATACCAAGGCGACAGAGGGGATGGAAGACTTCTGTTCTACCTCTCCCAGTGAAGTGGGGAGGTGGCTTAAAGAGGACCTGTACTGTCTGTAATGGACGAATAATCTGTATTCTTTGCTGCAGGGGCCATAGCCTGCCAATGCTGACTATGCTAATGTCAGACTCTGATATACTGTCATAGGTCTCCGACATGTATTACCAAACTTTATAAACTCTGTGAGGGCTTGTGCAAGTGAACATGATGCTTGCCCATTTATGACAAGGCATAGGGTTGCCACCTGTCCAGGATTCACCTGGACAGTTCGGGTTTTGAATGCTGTGTCCGGGTTTCATGGCAGCAGAAACCCGGACACAAGATGTCAGGCAGACAGGGGCAACCAAAATTAAGATAGGAGTTACCGACCCCCATTGAAAATAGTCTTAACTGTGATATTTACATAGGAATAGGCAGCGCTATATACATAGGAATAGGCCCCCACTCATTCTCCCAAAAAAATGTCTGCGTGTCGCTTGAGTGTTCGGGTTTCGCTTGAAGAAAAGGTGGCAACCCTAACAAGGCAACAGGTTCTCTTTATAGTCCACCATTAGACAGCTTACACATGGCTAAGGAGCCTCTCCCAAATGGCTGTGCATGGACCTGAGGGACCATCCAAATGAGACAGTGCAGGGCCCTGAGGGACTATCATTCATGAGACAGTGCACAGGTCTGAGGGACCATCCTCCATGAGACAGTGCTGGGTCCTGAGGGACCATCCTCCATGAGACAGTGCATAGGCTTGAGGGACCATCCACCATGAGACAGTGCAGGTGCCTGAGAGACCATCCTCCATGAGACAGTGTACGGGCCTGAGGGACCATCTTCCATGAAGACAGTCCAGGGGCCTGAAGGATTATCCCCCATGAGACAGTGCAGGGGCCTGAAGGACCATCCTCCATGAAGACAGTGCAGGTGCCTGAGAGACCATCCTCCATGAGACAGTGTACGGGCCTGAGGGACCATCTTCCATGAAAACTGTCCAGGGGCCTGAAGGATTATCCCCCATGAGACAGTGCAGGGGCCTGGAGGACCACCCTCCGTGGGATGTTGCTGGGGTCTGAAGGAGCATCCCCAATGTCACCCTGCAAGGGCCTGATGGGCCATCCTCCATGTGACTGCATGGGTCTGAAGAACCTATACTGGATCTAAACCTGTGTGAAACTTCAGGGATTTGAAGGACCCACCCCTGCGTGACAGTGCTTGGGTCTGAAGGACCCACACATGTGACAGCCAAGGGTTTGAAGGACCCACCTCTCTGTGACAGCACACAGGCCTGAAGGACTTACCCCTATGTGACAGCACATTGGCCTGAAGGACTTACCCCTATGTGACAGCACATTGGCCTGAAGGACCCACCCCCATGTGACAGCACACTGGCCTGAAGGACCCACCCCCATGTGACAGCACACTGGCCTGAAGGACCCACCACCATGTGACAGCACACTGGCCTGAGGGACCAACTCCCATGTGACAGCACATTGGCCTGAAGGACCCACCCCATGTGACAGCACACTGACTGAAGGACCCACTCCCATGTGACAGCACACTGGCCTCAAGGACCCACCCCTATGTGACAGCACACTGGCCTCAAGGACCCACCTCCATGTGACAGCACACTGGCCTCAAGGACCCACCCCCATGTGACAGCACACTGGCCTCAAGGACCCACCCCCATGTGACAGCACACTGACTGAGGGACCCACCCTCATGTGACAGCACACTGACTGAAGGAACCACCCCATGTGACAGCACACTGAAGGACCCACCCCCATGTGACAGCACATTGGCCTGAAGGACCCACCCCTATGTGACAGCACATTGGCCTGAAGGACCCACCCCCATGTGACAGCACACTGACTGAAGGACCCACCCCATGTGACAGCACATTGGCCTGAAGGACCCACCCC